CCCCAAGAGCTTCATGGAGATACAGGGTTACAGGGCTGGGCTGCCCACCCGGGGAAGGAAAGAGAAGAAAAGGCCTGCAAACACCGTCTAGTTGACAGCTCTCCCCAAGCCATCTCTCGCCCCAGCTCCAGCTTAATACGGAGTGTGTCCTTTTCCAGAATGAGTACTTCGCAACGCCTTTGGCAAGTGTTTCAGAATCTCTCAGAATTATCCGGTGGAGAGGCCGGCTCTTGGCATTTAACAATGCCACTCTGGGAGATGCTCTTTCCTTGTCCTTTTCACGGCACTTCGGGACCTCTGGGTGGAACTCACTCTGAACAGTGTGAAAATATCAAAATAAAGCGCCAAAGAAAAGACAAGAGCCGAAGCTAGGCACCACCTCCCCCTCCTCCCAGCCATTCCAAGCCTACAGCACCCCCAGAAAAGACAGACTGAAAGAGAGACTGAGATCTAGAACATTCACAAATCAGAGATAAATTGCCCGTTAATTATCCTCCTTAGAGGGAATGGTTAATACCAGTTTCAAAGTCATAAGAATGCCGTTGTTTGGGTCAGTGTAGTTGGTAAGTTTATTAGTTACTGTAGGGTAAAAGGGCCAGCCAAAGAAACCCACCCTGGCCCTGAAACCAGAGCCAACCGAACACAAAATCAACCAGTCTCTGAACAGGAAAACCAACCAATCCCTGAGCAGAAAACCAACCTATCCCTGATCATGAAATTTAGCCAATCTGAGCTTGTCCAAGTTCAAAGGGATAAAATCTGACCAATTCCCTCCCTGAAAATCTTCTCCCTGGAAAAACTTCGCCCCTAAGAAGCCCTCTATAAGCCCCTCCACCTGTTCAGTTGGCCGCTGTCCTTTTCCACCCAGCCACTCTCCTGGACTCCTCCTTCCCAAATAAATCTCTTGAAAGACTTTTGGGTGAAGATTTTCCACTGGCACGGGGAAGAATCTCTGCTGGGAAGCTCCCTTAGGGAAGCAGAGCAGAAGAGGCCGCTGACACCTCGGCTGGGAAACTCCCTGGGGAGTGGAGCAGAAGTAACAACTTTTCTCAGGAGCAGGAGCAGATTGCTACATTTCTGCAGCGGTTTCCTCCTGAACAGAGTGAAGCAGAAGAAGCAACGTCTTGGACCAGAGCTGAGAAGAAACAGACACCTCTGCGGGGAAACTCTCTTAGGGGGGCAGAGCAAAGCTCAGCTGTAATAATTCTCTCTCAGAGAGGAGCAAGATTGCTGCATCCTCCAGGGAGACCATCCCCCACTGCACCCCAGCTTCAGGTACAGCCTGACTTCCAGACAAGTCTGGATACTTTTCCCTCGGGAGCTGTAACACTTACACTTCTCACTGATGTGACAATACCTGTCAGAAAGCACCTGAAGAGAGGACTTACAACGGCTCACAGTTTGAGGGGACACAGTCCATCATGGCAGGGAAGGCACAGCATGGGCGGCTCCATAGCAAGGGGAGCACATGGCAGCCGAGGGCTCACATGCCAGCAGAGAACGAAGCAGAGCCAGCCAGAAGCAGGGTGGCCTACTACTCAAGACACAGCCCTGAGTGACCCACTTCCTCCAGCTTGGGCCCCTCCTCCTAAAGGTTCCACGACCTCCCCAGGCAGCACCACCAGCTGCATGCCAAGTAGTCTAACACAGGAATCTGTTGGGGACATTCGCGTCAAACTATAAGAGTCGTCAAGCATTAATACCATGGAAGAACTCACTGGAAATGATGATCAACATTTCCAAGAAAACAAAACTGGAGCCAGTCAGTCAGCAGGGCTGCTTGACACACTCACACCCTGTCTATGAATCCGGATCCACTGCTGGGAAAGGAGTGGAGGAGCACCTTGTGCATGCAGTCCGCATTCCTCTGGACCAGGTACTCCTCCATCTCCTCCGCTAGTGCCCTTCACTCCCCTTCCTTCTTCTCTGCTCAGAGACACAGCACTGGAACCTCTCTCTCTCTCTCTCTCTCTCTCTCTCTCTCTCTCTCTCTCTCTCTCTCTCTCTCCCCTCTCATCATTAATTTTCCTTTCACTACTAAGTCACTGTTAATACGCATAAATTCACCAAGGATGGGAGTGTGGGCCTTCAACCCTGACACAGGCAATCGTGGGATGGATGGTCTGTTGATAATTGAAACATGATAATAAATCAACTCAAAGTCAGTCCACAATCGATTATCACCATGTGCTTTTGGTTCTAAGCAACACACACAATAAAATGTTCGCCACCCCCTCCTTGATCTCCTTATTGTCATCCACTCTAAATGGTTGTTGAACTTACTAAGGAGTTTGAAGAACTCACATAAGACTGAACAAGTGTATCTTCTTAGCATTTAGTAATTTTTTGTGTTTACATGAATATCCACATGTTCCCTAGACCCTAATACCCAAGGACTCAAGTACACATGTTCATTCGGGGAGTCTGGAATGGTCTGGAATGGCTCACACATTCTCCTTACTGTTTTCCTGATTCTCTTTGACACTACACATTCTTGGACTTAAACCATTGGACTAATGGTTCTTGGATTAATAAACAGCCATTGTAAACACGATGTAGTGGAACTTAGGGTACATCAATTCTGCCATTCTCTGTGACTTCATGGAGTGTTTATTTGTGGTTTATAAATTTGAAAGAGTAAAATGAATTGTGGATTGAAAGATATATTTTTGTTCATTAAGTCTTATTTGGTTACTTTATACATTACTGCAGTATAGTGATAGTATTTTTTTTTCACTTTCTGAGGCTCTGGGGATCCCTTGTCTCTGCCTTCTGTGTGCTGGGATTGTAGGTGTGAGCTGGGATTGCAGGTGTGAGCTGGGATTGCAGGTGTGAGCTGGGATTGTAGGTGTGAGCTGGGATTGCAGGTGTGAGCTGGGATTGCAGATATATGCTGGGATTGCAGTTGTGAGCTGGGATTGTAGGTGTGTGCTGGGATTGAAGGTGTGAGCTGGGATTGCAGATATGTGCTGGGATTGCAGGTGTGTGCTGGGATTGCAGGTGTGAGCTGGGATTGCAGGTGTGAGCTGGGATTGCAGGTGTGAACTGGGGCTGCAGATGTGTGCTGGGATTGCAGGTGTGAGCTGGATTGCAGGTGTGTGCTGGGATTGCAGGTGTGAGCTGGGATTACAGGTGGGCTACTGCCTAGCTTTATTCGTGGGTTCTGGGGATCCAAACTCTAGTTTTCACACACACAGAACAAGAATTTGAATGACTGAACCATCTCCCCAACCCCAGTTATAATATTTTTAAATTAGCTTTTGTTCTATTATAGTAGCAAATTGTTTTTGCTCTACAGCTTTGAAATGACTCTAAGTACTTCCATGATTTGTTACGAGTGATACTATGCTGTTCTGAGAACCTGCAAGTGCTATCAGACCCTACATATGAGCTGCTGAGCTCAACCCCTGGACTACAGGTAAGTACGTGCCTAGGAGCTGAGAACCATCAGCTTTTTCCCTGCAGATGGAAGATAGAAAGCACAAAGGGAGACAGAGTCACACCTGGTCCACATCTGGTGTGATCTCGGTAGACTCTGCAGCCAGCCCTGCCTCCCGTGGCAGAGGTGTCACCCCAGACACCTCACACTCGATGCCACCTGTGTTGCTATCGCTGTGATAAACACCATGCCCGAAAGCGACGTGGCGGGAAATGGCTGTATTTTATCCAACAGTTCCATTACTGAGAGGAGTCAGGACAGGAACTGAAGGCAGAAACAACCTGGAGGCGTGAACTGAGGCAGAGGCCGTGGAGGAATGTCACTTCCTGGCTTGCTCCCCAAGGCTGCTCAACCTGCTTTCCTATAGCACCCAAAACGACCTTGCCCAGGGTTGGCCCCATCCACAATGGGCTGGGACCTCCAAAATCAACCATTAACCAAGAAAATATCTCACAGACTCGTTTTCTGGCCAGTCTGAGGGAAGGCATTTTCTCAACTGGGTTCTTTCTTCCAAGATACCATATGAAGTCAAGCTGGAACTGACCTGAAAACTTCGTTGTCTAGCTTTCGTATCATTGGAAGGGTCAACGATGGAAGCTGCTGGGAAAGACTCAGCAATGAGCCTTGAAGGCTGTAATATTGACCTGTCGGGAAAGTTGTACAACAGGGTCGTGAACGTCATCATGACAACCAACTGCTTTCGGATTTGAGGACTGCTCCACAGGAGGAAACTCATGTTCAGTACTGCAAACCTGGTCAAAAGCCCAGGACTTAAGAGGTCATAGGTCCTAGAGGGAATCCACTACTGTTATCTTACTAAAGGGAAATGTTGTCAAGCTACCTTTTACATATTTATGTTCATGCAATAGTACTAATGTGCTGCCCTCAGCTTTGGCCAGAGAAACTTGTCTCTCCAGTGGGCAGCAGTTAGTGCAGAGACTCATCGCTGTTCAGTGGGCAGAGAACTGAGTGCTCATCCTGCCTGGGACATCTGTATCTACATCATCCCGCCAAAGAGGGAGCGCTGCAGAGAGGGTGGTGGAGAGGATTTAAGAGCGAGAGAGGGCGCCGTGTTCTGCGACGCTGTGTTCTGGACGTGGCCACCGCGCTCACGAATTCACGGCAGCTGTGGAGCAAAAGATCAAACCAAAGGAATCAGTCAGCACCCCAGCAGGCAGCACCAACCGGATTCAGTGGCTAAAGGGGGCAGGGGCAGGTCATGAAGGGGGTAAGAAGATGTTTCGAGGCCAGCTGGAGGGGAGTGGAAGTGGGGAGCTGAGCGCAGCTGTAATCAGGATACATTGTTTACATGAATGCAATTGTCGACAAAAAAAAATATTCTATTAAAAAAAAGAAAAACTATAAATTAAATATTGTACGTCTTTATATCCTGCAAGAAATTATGTGTGTTCTGGAGCCTGAAATCCATCAAACTACTTCATCATTACTTTGGATTTAATAACAAAACATAAAGTAAGGTTACTGTCTGACATGACATGACATGGACCCCGCGAAGCTCGATCAAGAAAAAAATGTAAAGAGAAAATGGAAGAGGATTTGAAGCAGCGACTAAATGATTTTGAAATTGTAATGACTGAAGCATCATGCACAGGAGTCCATCAAAGTTCTGAAGAAATGCAAGCTGTCACACCCAAAATCCCTAACCTGTGAGTGGGACATGGTGTGGATGGCGTGGGCACCAAGGGGACATGGAACTTCTCCTACCCAGCACCAACAACAAACGAGGCAAGGACCGGAACAGGAGTTATGGCAGGAAGAGAAAACCCAATAACGGTGAATAAGTCAGGGCTGGAGAGACAGGTCAGGAGATAAAAACACACTTGCCGGGCAAGCCTGATAGGCTGAGTTTAGATTCCCAGAACCCAGGCTTTAAAAACAAAAAGCCAGAGGCAGCAATGCAAATGCCTCTAAGCCTGGTGCAAGCATTTCAGATTTAAGGCAGAGACGGGAGAGGCTCTGACCCTCACAGGCCAGCTAGCTTGGTGTACGCAGTGGGAAACAAAAGAGACTTTGCCTCAACCAGGGCGGAAAGCTGAGGGCCAACATCTGAAATTATCCTCGGATCTGTATATCACATTATAACATACCCACGCCCACAACCATAGGCGCGCACACACCAACAGCAAAACACTAGTTGGCTAAAATTAAATCAGTCCATTAGGTTGGTCACCATGGGTTTTGGGGCTTCATGTGGCCTATTGATTGCCTCCTCTGATGGTAAGTTCCTCCCTTCAGGTACCATCTTTGTCTCATCCCACTCTACTGTGCCGGCCCCAGGATCAAGATGTCCTTCCACGCTTATCCGGAGTCACAGGGGGGATCTTCACAGTCAGAAAACGTAACTACCAAGATACAGCTGTGGCTTCCTAGGTTACTTCCCATCTAACTCTCAGCCTACAGAGTCAGGATGTCCCTAACCTCAAAGGAGGTGGATGTACATAGCAGCGGCTTCTCTCCCCATTCCCACTGTCTGCCTGGCTACCTACTCCTGCAAATATGCTCCCCCCCAATCACCTTTTCCATGCAAGACAGCTCTACTCTTGAGTTGCTCAGGTCAGAAACAGAGGCATCATCTTCCTTTTTCTTCTATCCTTCATAGTCCACATCCAATCCATCAATAAATGCTGTTCTTTCTATAGCTCAAATGTGTTCTGAATCTAAGCATCCCCCCTCTCCCATCGCCTCCTGATCACCATCGCCTCAGTCCTGCAGCTATGAGCCGAATGTCTGTGTCGTCCTGGAATTCACGTCCTGAAATCCATCCTTCAAGTCCAAAGGTGGTTAGACATGTGCACCGTCTGTTATAAGCTCTTCCCTCACCAGCAGTGCCTCCTTACTATGTAATTACGTAGCGGAAGGAGAAAGGAAAAAAATCCCCTTCAAGTGTCTTTAAAGGAACACTAGGGACACTAATCCCGTTCCTAAAGATGGAGCCCCAGCAGACTAACCAAGGAACAATGAGAAATAAATCTCTATTCTTTATCAATTACACAGCCTACGATATTTTGTGATAGCCACGGGAACAAATTAAGAAGTCTCGAGTTATTTCAGTAACATCGTAACTGCTCTTGCTACATGTACAGTCCCCACATCAACCATCGCAGCCTCTTCACAGAGTATCTTAACATAGAGTTCGTTACCTCTGCACATCAAACAACGCCTGAAGTTCTGACAACTCCCCAGAAAGCCCTAGCTCACCTCCATCCCAGCCCACTCACGACCTCTCTGATCTGCTCCGCATTCCTCTAGCTCACTGGGGTGTCCCAGCCACCCTGGGAGCTGCACGGTTTACCAGTGAGAAGCGCTCTGTTCCGGCGTCCGTGCTCCTGCAGCGCCCTCTGCTGGGCTCTCTCTATCCTGCAGGATCCGGGTGGCTCCATTTCTCTTGTCTCTTCTAAGATGTCACGGCAACTTCCTTACGCCACTCTCTGTGGCCTTGGCCTGCTTCATTTTTTCTGCATAGCAATCATCACGAGTTGCTATCTGCTGGTTGCTTGATTCCTCCCGTGTTATATACCCTTTATATCTTGGCAGAAGTTCACTGTCATTGCCCGTCCCCAGTAGCTAAGAAAATGCAAGCCCAAGATGGTAAATCCGACAAGCCTTTGAATGACCATCAAGACGTCTAACTGCAATGACAGCGTCCTGAGGTCCCTCGACTTGACACGGCAGCCTTTCTCGGCCTCACGGTGTGGAGAACACCTTTAGGGACGGCTCGGCTACATTTACAGGCTTACTCATGATGTGAAGAATTTTAGAAAGAAAAACGTTTCAAATACGCTTTATAAAGGAATGATTATATCCACCCAGGAAGGTCTCTGGCTGTGGGAGAAAGCTTACTAAGGACTAAGAGAACAAAGGCTCGCCCCTGAGTCAGGTAGCCCGGAGTACTTGGCGAGCATGGCGGCCCTGAGACACATGAAAAAGGATTGATGGACTATTTCACAAGTGTTTTTAAGTAGGAAGATTTAGCACATAACTGACTGTAAAACATTTGTTTGAAAAGTGAAGAAAAAGGACATTATTTTTCTGTCCCTTTAGTAGTTAGAAATGTTTGGAGATAAGCGTAGTATTTAAATCTTTGGGATGTGTAAATTGTATTCAACAGCATTTTTAGACACGGCATTAGGAATACTTTAAAGAGACTGTCTACTGCATTAATTTTAATTATGCTCTACCGGACTCACAATGCTTTGAAATGCTTATAAAGTGCCCTCAAGATCTTTTATTAATCAAAATACAAGCACCAAGCTCAGACGCGGCTCTCGACTCTGGGTGGCAACGGCTTGCCTGAGAGCGCCACCTGCTGTTTCCAGTGCGTACTGTAAATAACGTTTTTTGGACTTTAGCGGTCGTGGCTAGAACAAAGACAGTTTCTTAGGGACGGGTCAACACGCAATCGCGTTACTTTAAAAGCGGCGTTTCCTCCTGAGGTCTGGAAGACCACGCTGGTGCCGATACCTGGAGGGTAAGTGGCGAACCACACAGGGGAATGGCGACTTTCATTTCCTTCACTTCAGCTTTAATCCTTCAAAACATGGACAGCAGTGATTTTGAAGGCACACTATTATTAACAGGTTTATTTTGGAACTCAACTATTTGCTCCATAACCAGCAACCATCCTTTTTTTAATTAGTTATGGGCTGTAGGTGATATAATTAGAGGCAGAGTGCTTACCAACTTGTGTCGGATCCGGGGTTTCACCCCAATATTCCAAAAATTATAGGTGAATTCATATTTCAACACCAGCCATAGCAGGGACTTACTAATTTACTTATAACAAGAAAAACATCCTGGTTTCACAAAACCCAGGGAAATATGCAGGTAGTCAGGTTAAATTCATGACATGCTGGCCCAGGATGACCCACGCTGGTGAATGCCAACACCTCACCAAAAGCTCATGGCCCCACACCAGCTCCCTGGGTTAAGGTTAGTCCGAAGGGGACTTGGGATGGAATAGCTACTCCCGGGGAGGATGTAGACACTTAACATAGATATGACTGTCCGTCTACACAAACGGGGCAGGACAGACTAGGCGAAGATAAGCTGGGAAGAACTGGTTGACGGGGTCCGAGGAATTGATTGATGGAAAGCAGACATAGATAGTTCATGCCGCCCAGTCCTTTTGTTGCCTCAGAACAATTCGAGCAAAGCCTTCTGACTGCAAGGGGTGTCCAAAATAAATGCCGGTCCCTACGAAGGGCTGGTGCAGGGTTTGGGGGAGGTTTTGGGGGGTTTTTATTTGTTTGTTTTTGCTTGCTTACTTACTTATTTATAGGGGAGTGTGCCACAGTGCACATATGGTGGTCCCAAGACAGCTCAGGCGAGTAGGTTCCTTCCCCATGTGGGTCTTGTGGATAAAACTGGATAATCCGCCAGGCATGGTGGTGCACATCTTTAATCCCAGCACTCAGGAGGCAGAGACAGGCGAATCTCTGTGAGTTTGAAGCCAGCCTGGTCTACAGAGTGAGTTCCAGGACAGCCAGGGCCAGTGAGACTTCTCTCAACCTCCCCACCTGAGCACACACACACACACACACACACACACACACACACACACACACACACAACCTCGGGTAATCAGGTTTGGTGGCAAGCACCTTTCTCCACTGAGCCGGCTCGCCATCCCTCAGATGCTGTTTTTGATACCAGCCTTAACAAGTACATAAAAACTGAATTCAACAAATACCTACTTTCTGATAAGATGGGGAATGGAGAGCCTCCCCCCCCCCCTGTTGGCTTTAAATCAGCACTGAGTTATTGCCCTCCTGTCTGTCATGGCCTACCCAGACCCCACTCAGCTCTCACACCTTATCCCAGGTAATCTCTGTAGCAGTTGTGTGACCGTGGTTTTCTGAACTTTAAAAACTTTGTTTTGTTTTTAAATACACGTTATTTATACATTACAACATTGTATGATTCTATTCTGTGGACAAAACTTGTCATATTGTCAAAAAAAAAAAATGGTACAGTATGAAAGATGCTCCTACAGGTAAAGGTACTTGCCATGAAGACTGATGACCTGAGTTCAACCCCTGGGGTACCCGGGGAGGGGGGTGAGGGAGAGGGAAAGGGAGGGAGGGAGGAAAGAAAGAGAGGAGAGAGAAGATAGATAGATAGATAGATAGATAGATAGATAGATAGATAGATAGATAGATAGACAGACAGATAGGATGTAATTTTTTAATTCTTAAAAAGAAAAAATGTTTAGCTGGGTGTGGTGGCGCACGCCTTTAATCCCAGCACTCAGGAGGCAGAAGCAAGTAGATCTCTGTGAGTTCAAGGCCAGCCTGGTCTACAGAGCAAGTTCCAGGACAGCCAGGACTGTAACACAGAGAAACCCTGTCTCAGAAAAAGAGAAGGAAAAGGGAAATGGTGACGGGCTTTGGAGTCTTATCCAGCTGGTTCACTGGAGCCGTCAACACCTTTCCTTACGTCTTAATTTGGTTTCCAGTGCCGCCGTGACAGACTAAATCGACTCAAGGAGGAACGGGTTTATTTACCCGACCCTTCCCAGCCACAGTCCATCATCCAGGGAAGTCAGGACAGGAAGTCAAGGCAGGAACCTAGAGACCGGAGCCGATGCAGAGGCCATGGAGGGGTTCTGCTTACGGGCTTGCTCTCTTGATTTTTTTTATATGACCCAAGATCACTTGCCCAGGAGTGATACCACCCACCATGATCTAGGCGCTCCCACATGAGTCATTCAAGAAAATGTCCCCAGATTTGCCTCCAGCCCAATTGTATGGAGGCATTTCTCAATTAAGGTCTCCTCTGCCCAGCTTATCTCAGAACTGTTTATCAAGTCTATAAGTTGAAGAAAACCGATACTAATGAACATGATCCTTGTCCACAGAAATGCGAATTAATTGTGTTAGGGTTGGAGGATTTATTGACCATTGTCCAGTGGTGGCTCACAGCATCAAGCACAGTGGTTCTCAACCTTCCTGATGCTGTGACCCTTTAATACAGTTCCTCATGTTCTGGTGACCCCCACCCCCGTGGTTGTTTGAATGTAATTGGCCCCCATAATCTCACAGGGAATGGCACTATTAGGAGGTGTGGATTTGTTGAAATAGGAATAGTCTTACTGGAGGAAGTGTGTCACTGTGGAGGTGGGCTTCGAGCTCTCATATATGCTCAAAATACTGCCCAGTATCTCAGACCACTTCCTATTGCCTGCACAAGATGTAGAACTCTCAGCTCCTTCTCCAGCACCATGTCTGCCTGTACGCTGCATGTCCCACCATGATGATAATGGACTGAACCTCTGAACTGTAAGCCAGCCCCTACAATTAAATGTTTTCCTTTATAAGAGTTGTCACAGTCATGATGTCTTTTCACAGCAATAGAAACCCTAACTAAGACGCCCCTAACCATAAAATTATTTTCTTTTTTTTAATATAAAGTGGGCAGACCCGCTCCTTTTTTTTTTTAAGATTTATTTATTATGTATACAGTGTTCTGCCTGCATGTATCCCTGCAGGCCAGAAAAGGGCACCAGATCTCATTACAGATGGTTGTGAGCCACCATGTGGTTCCTGGGAATTGAACTCAGGACCTCTTCAAGAGCAGCCAGTGATCTTAACTTCTGAGCCATCTCTTCAGCCCTCATAAAATTATTTTTATTGCCACTTCATATCTGAAATTTTGATACGGTTATTGTAATGTCTGGTTTTGTGTGTCAACTTGACACAAGCTAGAGTCATCAGAGAGGAAGGAGCCTCAGTTGAGGAAATGACTCCATGAGATCCCGCTCTAAGGCATTTTCTCAATTAGTGATCAATGAGGGAGGGCCCAGCCCATGGTGAGTGGTGCCGTCCCTGGGCTGGTGGTCCTGGGTTCTATAAGAAAGCAGGTTGAGCAAGCCATGGAAAGCAATCCAGTAAGCAGCCCTCCTCCATGGCCTCTGCATCAGCTCTTGCCTCCAGGTACCTGCCCTGTTTGAGCTCCTGTCCTGACTTCCTTCAATGATGAACAGCAATGTGGAAGTGTAAGCTGAAATAAACTCTTTCCTCTCCAACTTCCTTTTTGGCCATGGTGTTTAGTCGCAGCAATAGAAACCCTAAGACACTTATGAATCATAACGTAAATAGCAGATATAAAGGATATCTGATATTCAACCCCTGTGAAAGGGTCATTTGACAACCCCAAAAAAGGTCACGACCCACAGGTTGAGAACCATTGATCTAGCATATTCGTGACTTCATTTCAGAAGTTTTTTTTTATTTCCTATGTATGTCTCTGTTCTTTGATGCTTCTTGAAGCCATTTATAAAACATCTCAGCGGTTCCCTCAGTAGTTAATGAGTTAAATAGAATAAAACCTCATTCATATGCTGGTTTCAGATCCTTATGTGCCATGATTATATCATCCTTGTTTTTTCTTTACTTTCTTTGAGAGTATATTATAGTCACATTTCTCCCTTGGTTTTCCTCCATCCAAACCATCCCGTATATTCCTTCTTGTTTTTTCAAATCCATTACTTCTTTTTCCATTGTTATTGCATGTATAGTGTATATATACATATACATCACTAAATGTAATCTGCCCCATCAGCATAATGCTTCCTTACCTGTATGTATGTTTTTAGTGCTGACCATTTGGTACTAGATAACCAACTGGTCCGTTCTTCTCTGGGGAAGCCACGCCTCCCATTACCAGTCTTCTTCAGTTGCCTGTAGTTCTTTAGGTAGAGTTGAGGTCTCAAGGGCTTTTCCCTGCCACACCTCCTAATCCTTTCAAATAGTGCCACTCCCTGTGCATTCAAATATATGAACCTATGGAGGCCATTCTTGTTCAAACCACAGCAGATCAATGTAGTCCAAACCCCTCATCAAGGAAACTTCTCTTTGCAGTAGATGGAGACCACTATAGAAAACCACAACCAATCAAAATGCAGAGTTGTGGAGTCAAGTCCCAAGGGATAGATAAATCTACAAAAATATTCTATACCTGAGGCTCAGGGAGCATTGCAGAAGAGGAGGCAGAAACATTGTAATAGCCAAAACACGAGAGAGTTTGCTGTGAAATTGTTTCCCAGTAAATTGAAGCTATAATTGTCAAGTCTCACCAACATGACGGCCCAAACATGAGCTAAACAAAGATGCCACCAAGACACACCAAAGTGGACAGGGAAAGGCCCCTACAGGCACTGCACTCATATGCTCAAACATGCGCGCGCACACACACACACACACACACACACACACACACACACACACACACGAATAACAAAATAAGTCACCTTTTGACTCAGCTATTATAATGTGACCCAAAAGACTTGGTTGATCTTCATTTTCTAGGCTATGCCAAGATGTCATGTCGAGGGACTCCATAATAGTGAAGTTATGTGCATATATCTGACAGAGAGTCAACTGTTTAAGGTTATTGAAATTGTTTTCACACCTTAAAAAAAAAAGCCCCAGGTCTTGCAGAAGAAGATAAAAGTCCACAGCACAGAACCATTTGAAATACATCTTTAATTTTATAAAAATCAATAGGTAATCTACAAAATACTTTGTTACATGATTATCAAAGTTCAATCTGTTCTGTATTTGTAATGACAGGTCACAAAAGTCATATTTTGAGTAAAACGTAACAGTCATTGTTAAGGAAAACCATCCAAGTGAATTCGTAAAGAAAGGGGCTAGACCATAAACACAGCTCCCGAATGAAAGGTACTACAGTTCTCTGACATACACACCAGACCTAAAGGTGAGCTGGAGAGCACGGCATTCATCTTTTGTAATTGATTAGCTTTAACAGTTGCCACCGACACGGGAAGCGTTCTCGCACTCAGACCTGCACAATTGATCACGGAACGATCAACTCATGAACTTATTAGCACAGTTAACGTGGCCCTTGCTGGCTAGATGAACGGACCAGGCCAGTGAAGGCAGAAGGACAAGTTATAACCTGATGGTGTCCTTGACATTGGCCACAGACTCCAAAGTGCTCACACTCGTAAAGAAGTTATCTAAATTAAATTTTTTTTAAAAGTGTTTTTTCTCGAATTCCCTCCCAGGCTCCTTTAGAAGCAAGGACTTTTGAAGATCACTGCTGGCCTCCTGGAAGAGATTTTACTTCTTACACCGTCTAAATGCCCTGGTAACTTTTCACACAGAGCTCAGGAGTCACATTTGACCTCCAGCCATTTCTAAGGTCAGAAGAACTGTATTAAAAAAGCCTCTCATCCCTAATGTTAATTTAACACTACGTAATGGATATCTAAGGTCCTTGATAGATGTGCAAATTAACAATTATGCCACTGCACCCCGCTGTTAATGCTATCAACATTGCTCCAGAAACTCCGTTTGGGCTTGTGGCAGTCTTCTGTTCCTGAAGCTTGAGATGGTCCTGAGGTCTGGGTGGCTTGTGACTTAAAGACCCCAGCAGTATGACCCACACACACTAGCCAGCCTTCAAGGCGGGAGGAGGGATGCCTTGGACCCTTCACTGGATTTCTTTTGTGATATGAATATGCATTCAGTTCATTTGCATCCACTGTGAACTCTTGATGGGCAGGAGGCCATAAAGCACCTCAGAGAAAAAGATGGGATTAACCCACCTCTTTTCCGGCATCACTACTCGCCGGTCTCCATATTCGTCCCAAGCAGACGGAAGAGAAAGTGTGCCTACTCCAGAAGACAGGGAAAGAGGGTGTGATTGCTATAAAACACGCACTCGCGACCATCAGCCACGAGCCTCGAGCAAACATTGTGAGTGACGTATCCCACGGAGTTAAACTAGAGCGCTGTAATCCATTGACGTTGAATGTTGTTTGCTGTGCCTCCACAGTAACAGAAGAACAATAAAATCTGATTGATACAAACCATCGTGAATGTTTGTTTTAATCTATCTGAATAGATGAAAATGAACGTAACACAAGATAAATGCGTGAAATAAATTCTGTAGGCCAACAAGGAAATGTGGTTTAGAACAGCTGCACATCACTTTTTGACTCAAAATAAGCCTAGAGAGTGGGGAAGAAAGCTTCCAGTCTCGGATAAGGCTCGATATGAACTGAGTGCATGTTAAAACAACATGGAGGACTCTGTTTTTCAGACAAAGAAAAAGAAATTCCTCAGAACATTGATTTTTATCAGTTTTAGGGTTCTGACTTGTCATGGTAAGTACTAAAGGAAATGCCAGGCAGAGTTCTAGCTGCTAATGCCACTGTCGTCTCCCTAGACACAGGACCATCAAGTCTTTCCGCCCACTCGGAAGAGCTGAACTATCTCCTTGTAGTAATACAGTGTCTTTGACTTGGCACATCTTCTAAAGGAAACACTTTCATACTTTTGGTTGTGAGCCTAGCCTGGAATGGCTGGGCCATCTCTCCAGTCCAAGAAAACAGTCTCAAAGAATTCGAATGAACCCGAAGAGTGGCGGCAGCACCAGGGCACAGAATTAAGCCAGGGCTTAGCCTCCTAGCAAGAGAGTCCAGGGCTTAGCCCTCTAACAAGAGAGTTGTGTTCATTACAGGAAATACTGTTGCCAAACACGGTCCTAGCGTTGCTACTTTTGGAAAACCATATTCATGATCTTTAAAAGTTCATCTTTAATGTAAATAAATATTTTAATTTATGGCCAGTGACTCTGATCTCATTTTGAAAGGAGTCCCGCGCCCTCCCCTGCCCCTCCCTACCCCAGACCAAAAGGCACTGTATCGCAGGGACTCATTCCAAAACATGTACATTAATGGAAATAATTTCTTTGGACCATAAATCCCACATGACATTTTGAAAATGACCCCACGGCAAGGGAAAGACAGGTAGCAAATGCTGCCGAGGATGACTCCCAATATTGTCACAGGACAGGAGCGTAGATAATTAAAAAATCACAGGTTTTGCCTAACTGCATCTCAGGGCTGAGTGAGAGGAGACATCACGTACTTGGGGTTCTGTCTCCTTCGGTTGCCTCTCTTGGTGGTCCACATGCTAACGGTCCCAGCTAGGGTTTCTATCGATGTGACGAAACACCATGACATAAACAAGTTGGGGAGGAAGGGGTTTGTTTGGCTTACACTTCCGCATCACTGTTCATCATGGAAGGAAGTCAGGACAGGAACTCAAACAGGGCAGGAACCTGGAGGCAGGAGCTGATGCAGAGGCCATGGAGGAATGTTGCTGACTGGCTTGCTTATGTTTTCAGAAGGTTAGTACATTATCATCTTGGCAGGAGCATGGTAGGAGCTTGAGGGTACTTGTGGTGCTGGAGCAGTAGCTGAGAACTACATCCTTATCCACAGGCAGAGAGAGAGAGAGAGAGAGACTGGGCCTGGCATGGCTTTTGAAACGTCAAAGCCCACCCCGCAGTGAAACACTTCCTCCAACAAGGCCACACCTACTCCAATCAGGCCACACCTCCTGGTCCTTCCAATCCTTCTCAAACAGTTCCACTCCCCGGTGACTAAGCACTCAAGTATGTGAGCCTGTGGGGGCCAGTCTCATTCACACCACCACACTAACACAGAAAGCAAGAAGAGATGGGAATCACACAACCCAGGTGACAAAATGAAGTCACTGGGTAATCCAAACCCACATACTCTTCAGGCAAACTGGCCAGCAGGTCTCACGTCAATTAACAGCACCTCTGCCTTTCAACAAGATGCACAAGTCACGGACACATTCCCACTCGTATCCCCAGAGCAAAAGTATATCAGGGGGTAACATGCAGACGGCCTGCTTTGGAGCATACGCTTCTCCAGACTCACCACTGCATCTCTGGCCTAAGGCTGCTACTCAGAACTCAGTCCCACCATACTGTACCAGAACTTCCTGCCCCAGCTGTGGGTTGACCAGAGGGGCATCATCATCTACTGAGTCACACAGCCACCGGCTTTATCTGGGTCTTCTCCATCTATCTGGATCCACTTCTTTTCTATTTCAACCTGTTAGGGGAAAACAGAGCACTGGCAGTGTTAGGAACAAGATCGGCAGTAGCTCTTGGTACTGTCTATACCTGATGATTCACTGACTGCCTCACCCTGTGGACACAGCCGCAGCCCGTCCACGGATCCACAGCAGCTCAGCAGTGAGGCACTCTTGTTTTGTGGGAACCAAGGCCCCCAAATCCTTCCTTCTAGAATCAAAGCTGAAGCTCTCTGGAATGATAGCTTTCATCACAATTTTTAATTTCAATCTGCCGTGCCCTGGGAAGCTGCCATAGGAACAGTCCTACAGAGGGACATTCAGTGGTCCTTGGGTGACTGTCACTGGAACAGGCTGACCCAATTTCTTCTGTAGTACAGATCTTGGCTGCTGGGGGTTGGGGGGCAGCTTTGGGGCAGAGGGTAGGGCACAGTGTACCAGTTGCCCCTCACTAACTTTATCAGTAGGGAAAGAAATCAGTGGATCCACACATACAGATTTCTCAACAGATGTCAATGGTGGCCACTAAGTTATCATGACTGACCACTGAGTTTTTTCTTTGTCGAATATCATTGGAAAGAGAAGACAGAAAGGGAGAGAGACACACAGGCAGACTGACTGAATGACTGACTGACTGACGACTGACTGACTGACTGACTGATTCTTAAGGCGCAAATTGCGTATTTCCTGTCAGGCTAGGCCCCACCCCGGATCTAGAACCCTCACTTGAACCAGGGCTCTTGGGGTACCTGGATGTTGTAGCAAGCCCGCTGAGACGTGTGCTTCTGAGGCTGCACGTCGCTCTCTACTCCTAGAGACCTCACCTCCGTCCCCGAGGCAGAGGTTTCAGGCATTGAAAACTGGACAGTAGCAAACGGATACCAATCTGAGGGAATCTCCTGGTCTGATCCAAGTTCAAGTTTGTATGACAGACTATGAGGCTGATCGGGACCTAGAGGGAACCAAAGCAAAGAGTCAGAATGATCCAACGGCAAAGGAGTAGTCTACACCACGTGCTTCTCGCTGTAGTGAAAATCCCAGCCATGAACATCAACTGTGTGCCAAGTGGGAAGAACCTAATGTCACACTTGGAGCATTAGTTCTTGTCCCCACACAGATCAACTCTTAAAAATGACTTTTAGTCACAAATGTTACAAAGGTTCTCTAATCAAAAGATAAGAACCATATTTATATGAAACAGAATTATTTGACCACAATGTGATTCAGCCCTCTAGAAACCTTTCTCCTGAGTAGACTGAATAAGCTCCAATAATTCCCCATCATTGTTTTAAGCCAGTGTTTATTTTTAGATAATGCAAAGATAGGGTTCAAATTAGGTCATGTGGTTTCGAAAGCCTGACTTTTAAAAGTTAGGCTTGAAGTTTTGGTATAACACGTTTTTGTTTCGGTGGAATGGATTTTTTTTTCACTACTGAAATTCCCACTCATTGTCCTGAAAAGCTCTTACTAGAAGAGACTACAGTAGAGAGATGGACACCCCGGCCTTCAGTATTTCAGTCTAATATTTGTTCTCGGTGAAGTGAATTGTCGTGGCGGTACCCTAGGCTGTGCCAGAACCTGCACAGGACCCAGGGGTCCCGGGTCTACTCAGAGAGCTTAGGTGGGAGTTACAGAGTGTGGGGGAGGGGAGGGAGTTTTGATGGTTAGCATTTTAGAGCCAGGCACACACCTGCAGAATGCCCGCACTTAAGAGGCGGTGCTGGGAAGAGTGGAGTGCAAAGTCACTCCAGACTACATCTGACTGTGAGGCCAGCCCGAGACAAACAACAAAAACAGTAGAGTGTGTGTGCCCCTGTAGTAACTTCACAAATGTCCCGTGGTCCTGTCACATTGTTCATAGCATCTAACTGTGTCCAGTTCAATCTGTCTTTAAATAAATGTAACTTCTAAAAATACGCTAATTTCAAAAGCCAGATTAAACTCTTGTGTCACTGAATTAGCTCAAGAAAAAAACATTTTCATCAGAGTGTAGCCCTAGGCACAAAAACATGAGCTTAAAAGATTGTGCTTAAATTTACTTTAAAAGATAAGTTGCCTTTCATTCCTTGCAACCTGCTTCTTGTAGAGAGACTGATCGAATTCCAAAGCTATAAAAGGCCCGGAGAGGTCACTCATCAATCGGCCAGCCAATGCTCACTCCACAGCGCTAACACAGAGGATGGGACCACAGTGGCCTCTGAGGGTCCATAAGCTGCCCATGTCACTGCAGGCGAGACCACACACACACACACACACACACACACACACACAGTGAGACAGACGGACAGAGAGACAGATGGACAGAGAGACAGGGATGAGTGGGGTTCTCATAATCTTTCATCCTGTCTAGACTTCAGGCAGCATCCAGGATGCAGTAGGTCACTTAACACTCAGCCACAGCCTTTCACTTCTATGGCTGTGACAGAATACAAACTCTTAGACCCGGCTTTATTTACTTAAGAGCTCTGTGACCCTAGGCAAGCTACCTAACTCTTTGAGCCTCAGTTTCCCCAACGAGGGTCTTACGAGGTTGTTGTGAGGTTAACCAACCAGCAGAAGTACCAGCTGAACTTAATACTTGGCCAAGTGCTGTTTGATTTTAAAGCTAACGTATCCAGTTACTATACTTTGCAGGTCCGAGAACTATGTATTCTACCTATTTAGACTTGAAAATGATACTGGAGTTTATTCATCGATGTTTATATTGTACAAGAAGAGTTTCTTAGGGAAGTCTCCCAGTGGAAATGGGGGTGGGAAATACATCTGATTTAAAGATGTAATACTTTTTAAATGACGGAACTGGCACCTCTGCCTTTTTTCCTTAAAAGCTGGTGGTAAGAGTATTTTTCTCCCAAGTTTTCTGGTGTCTTTTTTCCAGGCTTTTGGCCACTCTGCAGTGTCCACTAACATACTCTTATTCAAACTTCGAGCTGAAGAGACCAGGTTCCGGGCCTCAAAGACACTTGTCAAACTTGGGAATGACAGAGAAAAGCCTGTTATCTCGGGACCGACCACGAGGGGGCACTGGCGGGCCTTAGTAATTACTCTTTCGGCTCAGGACAGGGAGAGCGAACCACAGAGGCTTTCCAGGTCCGGGTGATCTCTCCTGACACAACATACTCCACGTCTGAAGCTGAACTACTAAGAAGAGCTGAAGAAAAGGGACTTAGGAGGACCAAATCGCGAGGGATCGAACCAAGATACTGGTGACAGAGAGCAAAGCAGAAATGAGCCGGGGGCGGGGCGGGGGCGAGCGAAGGCGAAAGCTTCAGTTGCTGGTGAGTGTCGCTCCGGCAACCCCCTATCTAAACCCGCCTATCATGGTCTCCAGCGTCTTCCTCTCTCACCCTTTGGCCCTTGATCAACGATCTCTTTTGCTTTTAATCTGCGTTCACTCCAGCAGAACACTGGGGTATGGAGAAGAAATTGGGGCCAACTTGGGGAAATCTGAGTTGATGAATTCATTCATCTGTTTGGTATTCAGTCAAACCTTGACTGTGCACGTCTGCACAAAGATCAGAACGCCGTGGGCATCCCCATTTCACAGTCCCCAAGAACCTCTCTAGTCCTTCAGGGAACATCAGTGCACCTTGGGCTTCTTCTCCATGCTGCCAACATCAAAGGAATCACTTTTACTAGAGGTATTTACTGTAGTTATTTTGAACACAAGACTTTTAAATAACCACAAGGTCAAGCTCCCTTCATGCATTTTACAGCAGTATCCCTGGGGAGGGTCAAGGCCCCAGTATGTTTGAATCACTCCCCAGGAGAACCTCATGTGTTCCCAGGGTGAGGACCACTTCCCTACAGACCTGAGTGATGTAGGCAGGAAGAGCAGGCCCAGCCTATGGTATACCTGCTTCCTGGACTGGGTCCTTGCCCATGACTTGCAGCTTGCTGATGTAACCAACTAGAGTTTGAGTTACAGACAGGATTCAGCAGGTACCAGACACCAACTTGGAAGGCTGAGGAGCCCGAGTGCCCTGTGCAGAACAGAAGTCCCCACCCAGCCTGTCATCCTACCCGATACCTCACACTCTCCTTCACAGGTGCCACATTTCACTCTGCCTTGACGTGACTCTGATCAGCTACAATATTTGCCCATGACATGGCCGAGATAGCTCAGGGCAAGACTAGGTGGTGCTGGTGTAGTCTGGTCATAATGGCCTATGATGGTATGGACTACTCAGCTCCCGTGCGGTGGGCATGTCAGTGACTATCATAATCCACAGAGATCATGCACGGGGTTGTCTGATAACTAGGTTGCTGAAGCAGGTTAAACCTTCTCCATGTTTTTATGGGGGAGTGTAGCTGAAGTTTTTCTGATCCTGCCTGGCCCACGGGACAAGCAGAGAGGAGAATTCTGGGAAGTGGAAGGCTGAGTCAGGAGACCCTGCCAGCCGCCGCTGCCGCCATGAGAAGCAGATGTTAAGATACCAGCAAGCCACGAGCCATGTGGCAACTTATAGATTAATAGAAATGGGTTAAATTAAGATGTAAGAGCTAGTCAATAGTTAGCCTGAGCTAATTGCTGAGCAATTTTAATTAATATGAGCTTCTGAGTGATTATTTTATAAGTGGGCTGCAGAACTTCGGGGGGCCAAAGCAGGACTGGAGAAAACCCCAGTTACAGGGGAGGGAGGGTGCAATTTGGAGATCTTAATAACATGTTCTCAGAAATTGATTTTGAAACCTATTTGTCCCTTTTTCGATCTCACATGGTAGACAAAATCAGAATCCTGCCTCTCATTTCTACAAAAACAGGAAAGCTGGCAGGTAGCTACACAGCTGGGAACCTCCTGGACCCCGAGACCACCCCTGAGGTCTGACTGACACCCTGATTTCTGTTGTTTCCCACTGGTGCTGGGGCAGCCTCTGGGACCAGACATAGTGTCTGTGTAGAGTGGAAGTAATGACTGTACATTTCTAATGAAATGATCTCGTCTATAGCAGCGGACTTTCCGAGAATTCATGGTGTAGACCGATTGGATCGGTGAGAATGGACCATGAGAGGGGGACTCAGCCCTTCACGCACTCCTTCCACAAATTTACATTGATTTCCTCCAGGAAACTCTGTCCAGCTCTGTGCTGGATGCTAGGGAGATGCAGACAGGCATGTGACCCCTGCTCACCAGAAATGGAACCAGAACTGCCCAGAGGCACCACAGTGAGGACTCGGTCCAGCCCGTTCACAAGTGAGCAGCATCAACCACAGAATCCTGGAGAATGGGGTGATGCTCTACCTGGGAGCCAGAGGAGGCTCTTCCTCCTTCCTTCCTTCCTTCCTTCCTTCCTTCCTCCCTCCCTCCCTCCCTCCCTCCCTTCCTTCCTCCCTCCCTCCCTCCCTCCCTCCCTCTCTCCCTTCCTTCCTTCCTTCCTCCATTCCTATAAACATTTCCTAGGAACCACCACAGAAAATCTCTTAACTAGATTGCCATTTCTTTTGATACTAAAGAGGCAGGAAGTTAAACTCATTGGGTAGCACTAACACAAGAGAAAACAAATAAACCAGCTGTTTGGCTAAAAGTCCCACCTCCCACCTAGCTGTGCTGACGTGCCCTCGGCTTCTCAAGCTACCATCCACCTCTGCCTGCTTTGGGCCCATGGATGTGGTGAAAACGCTGAGCAGTTTCCTATGAAATCAACCTAGGCGTCGGATATTTACTTGAGTTTTTGTCTGGAAGTCGATCTATCCTCCACACCACAGCCCGGTAGGCACTCTCGTATTTCGCTGACCCCACAGTGACCTGAATGACAGGTTCGGATTCAGGTTCCTGTAAACTCCCCAGACATGCCCGACGGTTCATTTTGGCTTTCAGAGACTTCTGCCTCTGAAGGTTCCTGGTCCAGAGGGCCTTGATCCATTGGGCTGGGACAGGAAAGTGAATCATGATATTGTCACAGCACCTTGAGGAACTGGCAGGGGGTGACTTCTGAGCCCCCGGGGTCATGTTGACAAAGGCCTGAAGTTCCACATATGCCCCCTGGACAGCCACTATGGACTTCACAGAAAAGGGAAGCTCATCCCCTTCATACGAGGTTTTGAAACGCATCAGCTCAAACCGGCAAGCATCCAGAGGTATGAACTTAATGATTCTGGACTGTTCAAATTCCTCAGCTTTCACACATGTATGGAAATGGTAGTTAAGAATATCAATGGCCCTTTTTTCTGGTTCTTTCTCAAAATAGCATTCATCTCGTTTCTGGAGTTCAAGGTCATTCAAGGTTAAAAAGCATTCCGCCGTCCCATTCACAAAGCAGAGGCAACAGATTTGAGTTGTCACGGCACTTTCAACCAATTTTCCATCTTCTTTGGTTACTTTACCCCAAAAGTTGTCCACGATGTCCAGGTAAATTTCTTGTTCCTCGTAATTCTTCCTTGGTTTTGCAACAGCGGGCAGCTTTACCAGCTCCTCCTCCACAGTGGTCAGGAACTCCAGGAAGTCACCGTGCTCTGTGGACCCCAACTTTAGCATCTGTTCTACGTCAGGCTCGTGAACCACCTCTGTCTTGGAATGGTATTTCCTTTTCTCTGAGTAAGACACATGTTCCACCTTCACAGTGTGGATTTTCCCCGCCATGCTGAAGTTCTCGAGTTTGGGTTCAGAAAGCCTGCAATGTGGATCGAGCTGGAACTCTTTGAACGGTTTTTCCAGCCCCTTCTCATAATACATCTGCAGAATCCCTCCTGGCAGAACCTTCAGGAAAATGGGTCCCCACTGCCTGGAAGACATCATGTTCTTCTTCTCGGGAATCCTCAGCATGAAGGACCATCCAGCTTTGGGCTGACTCCGGAAGAGCGTGTGGGGGACAAAAGAAGAGGCTGTGTCTCCAGCATATGGACTCTGCACAGACGCGTTTCCAAGAGGGTCTTGGGTCTCAGCTGACTGCAGGTGTTCAAGCCTCTCACAGATGTAGCTAAGTGAGCACTGGTTTAGGCTTTTTTGATCAATGGGTACTTCCTTGTCCCTCGATGAGAACGGCTTTCTGCTTGCCGGGGAGTCAAAGGAGACCTGAGAACTGCTACCTTCATCTTTCCAAAATGGGCTGGAGAAAGAACAGTCCTCTCGGAAATACTCGAACTGCAGAGCCTCGCTTCGGGCCTGCTGAGGGCTGGCGTCATCTTCAAGACCAGCTTTGGGGGTCAGTGGGGTGCATGAGCGGTCACTGGGTAATGACGCATGGGGTAAGCAGGTTGGCTTCGTAAGCGACAACGGAGGACCCGCTGTTGAGGGGGGGCTGCTTGAAGAAGATTCTGGAATAGGATAAAGCACGTGAGTCCCTGCTTTAGGGATGCCGGGGAACCCCGGGAAGTCTTTGGTGGGTGTAGAGAGAGGAGAGTTGCTTGGAGGTCCCGGGCTGAAGTAAAAGTCGACCATGGGAGAGGATAGCGGGGTGCTGCTGGAGGAGGAGGAAGCGCTCGGGAGGTCCCTGAGGCCGGGCAGGCTCAGCTTCAGTCCATTTGGTCTGCAAACACCTTGGGTCTCCAGAGGGAAATCCTTCGCCTTCGCCTGAGAAGACTGAAAAGCGGGGTCATCATCGAAGGTGACCCAGCTGCCTGGGTTTGTAGAACACATCTTCAGGGTGGGCTTGTGGTCCGGTCAAATAGTCAGGGACATTGTCTCTATAGAGGAGAAAGACAAAATAAAACAAAATAAAGGTTAAAAACCAAGATACTAGAGTTCTTTCATTTTGATAAAGACCTGGGTGTGGAAAGTACACATGGTTACTGTGTGCACAAAAACAAAAAAAGCTTCCAAGTGGCCGCTCTAACTCTATGGATCCCCCAGAGTTTGCTGTAGGTAAGAACATACACCAGCTAAAAATGACGGAAGGGAGATGATGGAAACCTAAGCAGCGTGGGGAGGGCAGAGGCCGGAGTGTGGGTCTGACTGTCCCCCAGGGCACATGAAAATGAAGGGAGGGAGATGGAGACCTAAGCAGCGTGGGGAGGGCAGAGGCCGGAGGAGTGTGGGTCTGACTGTCCCCCAGGGCACATGCACTGGAGACACTGTCCTCAGCCCTTGACACACTGAGACTTTAGGAAGGAGAGCCTAATGGAAGGAAGCTGGGTCAGTGGAGGGTGGACCCCTGAAGAGGGATGTGGGAATCCCACCTTCTCCCCTTTGTCTCTGACCCTGTGAGGTGGATGAGCTATCCCTCCTTTCCAACTCCCATTCTGATGTACCCAAGGGTCATGCACCAATTGGCCATAGACTAAAACCTTTGAAACCGTGAACCAACAGAGGTCTTTCCTCTCTTTCTAAGTTCATTGTCTCGGGTATTTTGTTACAGTGACAGAAAGCTAACTACCGCAGGAGTCACACTTCTATCAGGCAAAACAAACTTCAAGTCAGAAAGTTACAATGCCAGGCATGGAGGCACACACCTATACTCCCAGGATGTGGGGAGCTGAGGCAGGAGGAACCTAGTTAATTCAGCCCGGGCGGCACAGTGAGTTCAGCTTGTGCTTTTATTTAGTCCAGCTACAGGGCAGGCCCCAGTCTCATAAAACAAAGACACACAGGGGCTGGAGCGATGGCTCAGCAGTTAAGAGCACCGGCTGTTTTTACAGAAGACCCGTTTGTTTCCCTCACCCACATGGCAGCTCACAAGCGTCTATGACTCCAGTTCCGTGGGGTCTGACCAATTCCCTTTTCCGACCTCCATGGGCACCAGGTATGCATGTGGTGCACAGACATGCAAGTAGGCAAAATACTCACACACCTAAAATGAAAACATAAAATATTTTTTAAAAACAAATAGCCGGGCGGTAGTGTCATATGCCTTTAATCCCAGCACTCGGGAGGCAGAGACGGGTGGATCTCTGTGAGTTCGAGACCAATCTGGCTTACAGAGGGAGTTCCAGGACAGCCAGGGCTACACAGAGGAACCCTGTCTTGGAAAACCAATAATAATAATAATAATAATAATAATAATAACAACAACAACAAGTTGCAGACACAAAAGGCACACTGTATACCAATAAAAGGGTCAGTGCACAAGGAAAATAAAATCATTGTAAATGTGTTAGAACCTAGTACCAGAATGCCAAGAGAAAGAAAAGCAAATGCCAGCAGCCGTGAAGGAGGGACAAGATAGCTAAATATAACATGAAGAAATTTGGTATCCCACTTTTTATACTAGAGGAAGTATCCAGATGGATGGGTTTTTTTCTTTTTTTACTAAGAAGGTTTAACCAATCCCTCCCACCAAATGGGCCTACGGGACACATACACAGGACTCCAGCACAGACTGGAGTGGACATACACCTTCTCAAGCAGAACGTTCTCCTACACACAGAACACATGCCGGAGTAGGTCACCATAGGCCACAAAACAAACCTTAAATTTAGGAAGACTGAAGTAATGTATTTTTGCCTACTACAAGGCGGGAAAGCCCTAGAAGTCAATAGCAAAAGGAAAGCTGGAAGATTCGCCAATATATATGGAAACTGACAAACAACCTAAATAACAGATAAAGACATTGTGTAGTCACACAATTTCCAAAAGAAAGCAGGGGGTGGGGGAGTGAATTAGAAAATACTAAAATCTATACCAGGGTAGATTGTTGAACCTACTTTTAAGGAGCAACTTGCTTAAAATGTTTTACATTGATATAGATTTTAGTTTATTGATACAAATTTAAAGTTAATTTTGTTATACTGTATATATATTTCCACTCTCGTTTAAGATATTATGTTTATATAACTCATTTAAATTGTAATGTATAGTTGAGAAATACAGATTAATAATTAGTCTTCTATGATAGTCAAACTTATAGTCATCTTAAGTTTTCTAGGTATACATAGATATCATTCAGTTAGGTAGGTAATCTTCAAACACTTCAAAGACCTACAGAATATGGCATTTAAAATGTTTTAAAAATTTAGACTTTCTGGACAGTGAGACATGTCTGCTCCTGGCAGCACCAATTTACTTCAAAGAGAAAGATGGGCATCGAAGATACTCCATATGGAGTTTATCTTCTTCTTGGCAAAAATAGGCATTTGGGTAAGAAGCTGTTCTTGCCTGGACTGCTTGACAAAATGTTGTATTGACTGGACATGCAGGACCCATAGGAAAGTGTCCACTGAACTTTGCAAGGCAAGATGGTCCTTCAGGTTCCTGCTTCACAGAAGAAACTGCCAGACATTCTACAGGACACAGAGAGAAGTGACTGAGAGACTCTAGCCCTGTAGGCTGAAGAATGGATGTCCCAACATTACAGAAGAACCTTGGGTGACTGTCCAGGCAGCCAACTGTCTCTGTCATTCTAGATTTTTGGAAGATGCTTACAATGTTCTTCCTGTTTACTTAGATAATATTGTATCCTTCTAAGGTCCTTGATATAGTTGAAGACTAGATAGTTATAATTATGATTTTCCTTGGTTATGATAAGAGAAAGGATAGATATAAAACTTTAGACTCACAAATATATGATAGATAAAATATTTTCTTTAATTTTTGCCAAATACAAATAGACTAAATGTTATAATTCTTGCTTGATAACTGTTTTGTTATATATAATTTTACTATGTTAAAGTTAAAACTTTCCTTTTAAATAGAAAGAAAAGGGGAAATGATGGGTGATGGTGCTCTGCATGCTGTGAATGTGTTGTTTCCATTGGTTGATAAATAAAATGCTGATTGGCCAGTAGCCAGGCAGGAAGTATAGGCAGGATAAATCGACAAGGAGAATTCTGGGAAGAAGAAGGCTGAGTCAGGAGTTGCCAACCAGGCACAGAGGAAGCAAGATGACAAGGCAGAACTGAGAAAAGGTACCAAGCCATGTGGCTAAACATAAATAAGAATTATGGGTTAATTTAAGTGTAAGAGCTAGTCAGTAATAAGCCTGAGGTAATGTCCAATCAGCATTTTATTTATCAACCAATGGGAACAACACATTCACAGCATACAGAGTACCACCACCCTTCAAACAAAGATTTCTAAAATTCACAGTCCATGCTAACAGGGAAGTCTCCAGCAATCAACGCCTCCATTAAATAATAATAATAATAATAATAATAATAATAATAATAATAATAATGGTGGATTCAAAGAAATGGCACAGCTTTATGCTTGAAGAAGCTGGCCAATAGATGGGCTAAGAGAGGGTTAGCAGAGGAGAAATACCAGAGCAGAGGTGAGTGAGATGGAGAAAAGAAGATGGGATAAAGAAGGGCGAGCCTTGGAGTCAGTGTTGTTGAAAAAGGATAGATCTAAGCTAATTTAGTGGGAAAGGGGAGAAGATTCCAAATCAGAAACAAAAGACATGGCAACGAAATTCACAAAAACAGAAAGGCTTGTAAGAGCCTCGGAGGAGACCAGCAAGTGGACAAGCTTGAGGAAGACGGTTAAAATTCCTAGAAACAGGCAACCTGCCAATGCCGAACCAGAAAACCAGAAAATCTGGGCTGGAGAGTCGGCCCAGTGGGTAAGAGCACCAGCTACTCTTACACAGGACTGGGTTCAGTTCCCAGCACCCACATGGTGGTTCATAGCCATCAGGAACTCAATCCCAGAGGATCAATGACCTCTTCTGACCTCCACAGGTACCTACAGGCAGAAAATAAAATAAAATAATAAAATAAAATAGTAAATCTTTTTAAAAGAGAAAGAAAGAAATAGAAAATTTGAATAAATCTTTAACTAGTGAGAGAGACTGGTTTCATCACAGAAAACTTCCCAACAAGGAGAAGCCCAGGACCAAATGGCTTCCCTGCCAAAGTCTACAAAACACTCAAAGAAGAATTAATGTCCTTTGCAAAGTCTCCCAAAAACTGAAGAGGAGGGAATGCTTCCAAACCTGTTTTATGAGGCCAGCTTCATCCTGATAACAAAGTCAGACAAGGACCCTTAAACACTGAATTCATTATTTAAACACACACACACTAAGCCTCTAAGAATGAAGAAAATGTGTACAAGGGAATATTACTGGGTCTTAAAAACTAATTCTAACACCTGCTGCAACACACCTGGACCCTGAGTGTAGCATCTGAGGTGAAAAGCCAGCAGCAGACATATACACTGTGGCTCCACTTACACAAAGTGTCTGACGTCAGACTCAGGGCAGAAAGTGCAGCAGTGTGTGCCAGGCCCTGGAAAAGGGACACATGGGGAGTCACCGTTTAGAGAGCACGGCATTTCAGATGTAAAAGATGATTGAGGGAGATCTGGGGCTCAGCCAGTGCATATAGTTTTGTTGACAACTGATAAATCCTTACAGCTAATTTAATGAACAATGGAAAAAAGGAAGATTCAAATTTAGAAATAAAAGACTGCAGTAGAAGTCACAAAAATAAAAAGGACTGTAAGAGTCTGTGGGCAGACCAACCAGTGAGACAGATGTTCTGCACTATTCACTTAAAATTGTGTTACCAGCCGGGCGGTGGTGGCGCACGCCTTTAATCCCAGCACTCGGGAGGCAGAGGCAGGCGGATCTCTGTGAGTTTGAGGCCAGCCTGGTCTACAGAGCGAGATCCAGGAAAGGCGCAAAGCTACACAGAGAAACCCTGTCTCGAAAAAAACCAAAAAAAAAAAATTGTGTTACCAAGGATAGATTTCATGTGCCTCCCAACTCACACACACACACACACACACACACACTGGGGGGAAGGACTGCATGAGAAACGTAGACGGGAAGGTTGGGAATATGAATAACTAAGTCTTCATTGGAATGATTACTATGTAGCCATTTTGTTAGTGGAGTGGAAAATGTGGGGGGAAACTAAAAATCCAGTGAGTTTATAAGGCACGGCAGCCCCCCCCCCAATACATGAAGTTTACCATTCAAATATTTACTATTCATGACTCATGGCTTATCAAACAACCTGTGCTGTGCAAACCAACATTCCTGTGTGCAGCCTGAAGTCACCCCAGCAGTAAGGGGCAAAACCCCTGTGTCAGCCTGAAGTCACCTCAGCAGTAAGGGGCAAAACCCCTGTGTCAGCCTGAAGTCACCCCAGCAGTAAGGGACAAAATCAGGACTCATTGAGATGCAATTCACACACCGTAAGGCCCCCTTCCAAAAAGAAAAAGAAAGTGTGCATCTAAGTGATTTTTAGAAGAATAACGGTTATGTATCCATGATCACCAATTTGAGAACATTGCTCTGGCCCCCAAAATAAACCCTAGACCTACTTCAGACACTCCCCATTCTCCCTTTCTCCTGGGCCTGGGAACCACTAACCTACCCTATCTTTGTGAATTTGCCCTCTCTGTGATCATTTCTTCTGAGCATATGTGATCATTTCTTCTGTGATCATTTCTTCTGAGCATATGCCATCTCCTTCGATATGCTATAAATTATTGAAATTATTCTAATGACACCAAAGGCCGTGACTGAGCTGTAATGAGCACATCCCTGGGATTAGTGAGTGTACTGGCTGGTTTTGTGTGTCAACTAACACAAGGTAGAGGCATCTGAGAGGAAGGAGCTTCTGCTGAGGAAATGCCTCCATGAAATCCAGCTCTAAGGCTTTTTCTCATTTAGTGACCAATGCGGGAGGGTCCAGCCCACTGCAGGTGGTGCCATCCCTGGGCTGCTGGTCCTGGGTTCTATAAGAAAGCAGGCTGAGCAAGCCATGAGAAGCAAGCCAGTAAGCAGCATCCCTCCACGGCCTTTGCATCAGCTCCTGCCCTGCCCTGTTTGGGTTCCTGTCCTGACTTCCTTCAGTAATCAACAGTGTTGTAGAGGTGTATGCTTAATAAACCCTCCCCCCACCCCCGCCCGCCCCACTTGCTTTTGGGTCATGGTCTTTCGTCCCAGCAATAGAAACCCTAAGACAGTGAGGTCACTCAAATCCTGGTCACTGCTCTGCCTCGGGGCTGGCTATGTGCCCAGTCTGTCTAGATATCAGGGGGTTGCATTGGAGCTATCTTTGGGGCCCTTTCCAGCTCTAAAATTGGAAATTTACAATTCTATGGCAATTGATATCCAATTGGGTTTTTTGTTTGTTTGTTTTGTTTTTTCAAAAGCAAAAATATTATTCCCAACTCGGATCCAGGGCCTCAATGCTGAGATAACCCACTTCTGGGAATACAAATCCGGGGCCTTGGATGCACTTGGCAAGTGTTCTACCATTGAGCTACATCCATTATTATTAACCATCCTTCTGAAAATGCCAGAAAGCAAAGCCCCAGGAGCCCCCCACTGGACAGGAAAGCTGAGAACCTGCTGGCACGATGCTTCTGGGTAAGGAGGGCCTCTATCCTCACTGGGTCCCCTGCCGTGTGTAATCACTCAAGCTTGGAAAAGAGCCTACACAAAGAAGGAGCAGAGGGAGCCTGGGGCCAGGCTGAAGACAGCGGCTGCGGTGACTCGGCCTCTGAGCATTCCTGGGGGCTCTAAACCCACACCCCGGGGCACCTCACTGTCGGGCTCCGCCCCGCAGACGCAACGATCAAAGCCCTGGCCCCTGGAAACCCGCAGAGCGGCTAGGAGGTTCAGGGGCCCAGACCCATCCTCACCCCACCCTCAGAGGGAATCCAGCCCTGCGGAGGGCGAGACGCCCTGCAAATATTGACTCCAGCCGAGTTTGTTAGGTTAGAAGAAAGAAGAGCGAGACCGCAGCGTAGTCCCGCTGGGATCCGCGCCTGCCGTTTGCCCCCTCGCGTTTCCCTGGGTAACTTGGGGGAAAGGGTGCCGTTTATTTTTCCGTGTTGTGCCCTTTGTGAGACAAAGAGACTGATTATCATACACACAAGGAAATCAGCCCCATTCCTTTGTAAATGGCCCTCCCTCTGTCCCTCTCCCCCTTTTTAGCACACTTTATAAAATACCTACGATCTTGAACCCAAAATCCGTGCAAAGGGCCATCGATCCCGGCTCCCCCACCCACGGCTGGTCTCTGGTGCTCTGCAGACAGGAGCGCAGTGGGTGGCAGGTTTATTTCCCTCTGTCCCCATCACCCGTCTGGCCGTCTCTTACCTCTGCTGCCCTCCCTCGGTATGACCTCATCCCTCTGTCCCACAGTGCCCTCCAGTCATTTGGCGCAATGTTAACAACCGGGGCCAGTTCCACCCAACGCTTTCCTTCCTCAACCCCCCACCCCTACCCCAGAGCCTGGCTCAGAACCCCTGGGCCTCTGACAGGGGTGGGAAGCACCAGGGATCTCGCCAGCTGGGAGCTGGGGGCAGGAGCGACCTAACTCCAGCTGCTTCAGAGCCCTGGAAGGCTGCAGCCCTCCCTTTAACCTTTGTTGGGCTGGGGCGAGTTTGATTTGGACCGGAACACGCTCCTGCTCCCCACCCTACTCCCGGGTGTCACCACTGACAGAGCCGTGCATGGGCAACATTTCATTTAAACTTCATTTGGGTATCATCCTGAGGTCTACAATATAGTTGGTTCAGGGCCCAGGAACTCCAGTTCCTTTCTGTCTCTGCTACCCTCCTCAGAAACCAAAAAAAAAAGATCCCGCTGCTGGCTCAGGCTTCTTCCCTACCAGGCAAGCCATGCCTCCCTGTGGCCTCAACCCTTGAGAAGTTTGCGTGCAGCCCATCTGGATGATGGGCAAACTCCTAGAACACAGTTCCAGTCAGGCCCAGAAGTAGGGCAAGACACCAAGATTTTGTCTAGGGCACAGATAGATAATTTATTGTGGTGGAGATTTCTAGCAATCCGCTTTTGATATTTAAGATTCCTAAGGGAGATGTTTGCTTCTCTGTAAAACTGTGAGACACTCTGTTCACAGCAGCCTGTTTCAACGCAGCTTCAGGCTGACTGAACTTGAGACCGAGTTAATGTAGCTGCATTTGACTATTTGCGTCAGGGAAAATAAGGCTACAGAGAACCATGGCTTAGGGCCCCCTCAACGTGTAAAGCAGGTGCATTCAGAAGCCGACTTAGATATGTCAAGAGTTTAACACCCTCCAAATTAAAGGATTCACACAATAATTATCCCCACCCCCATTCTAAAAGGTGTGTGAGCAACAGAATAGGTTACAGCAAACGTTTAAAAAGGACGCATTCTGCTTTCTGCCAGCTAAGAAACCAAACGCTTATATTATTACAGAGATAACCATGAATTGTTTCAAGTAAATAAACAATAGTGATACCCGGGTTGAGGAGACATCTCACTGGGTAAAGTACTTACCGAGCAAGATTAAAGGCCTGGGTTTGAATCCCAAGGACCCACATAAAGCCAGGCACAGAAGTTGGGGGCAGGGCGGCTTCCCAGCATTCCTACGGTCAGGTGACAGGTAGGAAAAAAATAATCCCTAGAAGTTCGATAGTCAGCTAGCCTGGCCTGGTGAATACAGAGGCAAACAACAACAGAGACCCTGCCTCAAACCGAGTAGAAGGCAGAGGTTGTTGTCCAGTCCCCACACTCACAATGTGGCATGGGTACCTGCACTCACATACACTGACATGTGTGCATGCACACATACACCATACATACAAGCCGCACAGAGATAAAAGCAGCAATGCCTTACAATAACATTGCAGCATGCCTTGTGAATAAGAAGGGCTGCAATGAGAAAAATCATCTCCCCAGAAAGCATCCCGGGATAAAAAACCGCTCACATCAGAGAAAAACACCATATATTCTTTGAGAGTCGGGATGAAGCTTCTTCAAGCAGGGATCATGTCTCATGTGTAAGGACATTTTCTACTTTACCTACAAACACTTGGCAAAGGCACAAAACTCAAGACACTGTTGACAAAATAACCTTTTTCTAAAGTGAATCTCTATGTAGCCTTCCCCAGTTCAAAGAGTTGTTGGATTTTAGAGTCAGGAAGAAAGTGTGAGCATTCTGTTTGGTTAAGCAAACGCTTGCCATGCAGGGCTTGTCTAAGGGCTGCGTGTACATGCCTCTGTTAACACCCACAGCTTCAGAGGAGCTGGAAACATTAAGCTACTTGCCAAAAGTCACCTAGCTAGCAAAAGGGAGAACCTGGCTGGGACCAGGTGTGATGCCAAAGTCACATACTCCCAAGATCCGGAGACCTCCTGGCAGGTGACCCGTCACCACCACACCCTTCACTAGAAAACAGCTCCCAGCTGCAGCCATCCTTTCCTGGAGCCAGGAACTCTAAAACAGAAGGATGGGCCAGCGATGAGCCTGTTTCTCATCTACAAGCACTCTTGGACCAACGGGCTATAGGAAAGGCAAGCTCTGGGACAGATTTCCCCCAAGACTGCTCAAGAACAACATCCCAGCCACAGTCAGGCTCCCTTCTGAGACTGGCTTTAATAACAGCCTGCCGGGCTTCCCGTCCCGCCATCTTGGTGCACTAACCAATTGTTCAAATTCCATCTTACTCCTTACACAGTCCTCCCTTACCCTCCACACTGCCCTGGGCTGCCTCTATCCTGCCGCTCTTTGCTCTCGGCCCGTCCATCTTACCTTCCTTTTTCCTTGGCTTTTCAAAGGAACATACAAAATTCTACCGTCTTCTGCAGATGGTTGAAATCCCAGTGGGGGGCCTTTGGCTGGTGAAGCAGCATTCCAGGTCATCTGCGGCTAAAAACTTTGTCCCCACAACATTGCATGTCTGTGGAGAGGAGCAGACTCCTCTTACTGGTCCCTAACATCGGCTCCTCTGTAAGTGCCAAGTGATGGGAGAGGACTGAAGCTGAAGAGGTCCCTGGGGGCTCGGGAATGCGTTGCCCCTGTCTCCTATCGTCCGGACCCCATTGCAGAGGTCAGGCGGACTCCTGCTCCAGCCTCCCGCTTTTGCCAAGGCTGAGCTTAGCCTTCTGTGTCTCTCCTCGCTGTAACAATGCTGCACAATCTAGAGAATGTCTTAAGGTCAATATCTGTGTGGTTTCATTGGCTGCTCTCCCAAATAAGGAATTCTCAGATTCCTGACTGCCAGACTCCTCCAAAGCATCTTTGTAACCAGCTGGACGCCGGCTGCCTCTGCGAAGCCCTTGGGTGTGTGTGCCGTGGAAGGGCCGGGATCCCCACTAGCTGTTGTTACAGGCTTGGTACTAGGGAAGCAAAGTCCAGCTTGAGGGTATCATGACAATTTTCCTCCAAACATTTGCTGTGATGGTGTGATGATCGTTCCCAGAGGAGTTTTCCCTTGAAGGGGAAACCACCAGTTTGGAACAGAAAAGAAAGGTAAGGCACACGAGCGTGCCTTGCCCTCATCCAGGTCATGCAAAGCGCCGGTGGGGGCGGCACGAGCCGTATTATTAGCACATATGGTGTACAGCCCACACTATTCAATCACAAACATGTGTGGTGTTTTATTCATGTGACAGGAAATACCATTTGCACAATGTTAAACCACAGCATAGTCTACAGAGCCTTCAAAAATGATCAGCTTTGGTCTCAGCTCCATCCCCCAGCCCACCACTCCCTTGTGGCAATTAACCTTCACTTTTCCAAGTTTGGGTCCTGGCTCTTTTCTGAAGCTTGCTTTATTGTTTACCCATTTCCTCAACTTCGAGAGTAGAGACAGATGTTTGTTCTTCTAGGAGATTCCTAACAAGTCCAAAGCCAGCTTCTAAAAGAACCCCGTCAACTGTGCCCATCGAGGCCTGAGCAAATGTGAACACTTTACACTGTTTGGGGCCTCATCCTTCTGATGACACAAGCCCCCTCAGAGTGCCTGCCTGGGGAAACTCAGGGCTACCTAAAGACTGTGTATACTAGCTCCTGAGACAGGCCCTAGACTCCAAGGGAGGCCAGGCACTCCATCTAATGAAGCAGGTATGTAAGCCCTTCCCTGAGTTATTTTTACCAGGTAGTTGGTCCCAGCAGTGAAAGAGTAGCTAAGACAGTCTGTCTACTGTGAGTCTACGAGAGTGGACGACCCGCAGGCCTCGCCAAACCCAACCGTGCTGGCATCCTGAGCCCAGACTTCTAGCCCCTAGACCTGAAAGGAAGAAGTACTGAGGACACCATGTCCCCAAGAAGAAGTCAGTAGTGGCAGTGGGAATACAAAGACAGACAGACAGACAGAAAGAAAAAGACCCAGGATCCAGTGTCTTTGCAAAGTCCTGATATAAAAGGTTGGCAGGTCTCTTCATGACAAACTCTTCCAACATGCATGTTCTAATGAATTAAAGAAGCCCACTCGTGTTTCCAGGAGCCTCCACAGGGAGGGAGAAACACGGAGCTTTCCGTCACAATCTCCGTGGTGTCAGAACAAGGAACTAGAGCACACACAGCCAACTTTAACTAAGATCGCCTCAGCCTTCTCTGTCTGTTGCTGACTTCTCTTATTACAGCCCTGAGGCTTGGCTCTGGGCCCACAGTGGTGTCTTTGAGCTAGGCTTTGAGCATCGCTCTAAGGACAAGCAGCAGCCACGTGTCCCTTCCTAGTCACACACAGGGGATAGGCTCACCTTTGCTTTCCCAGACAAGGGACCAAGGAACTTCCACGTGGAACGAACTTTCGCCTTTGACTGGAGCAAGCATGCAAAGGCATCCTCTAGGCATTGAGAGCGACAGCTAGAGCTCCTGTCACTGTCCATCTGGCCAGCACACTAAAGCCTGCTGCCCTCAGGCCCTGGCCTCTCCTGGCCAAGAGACAGAACCAGTGGAAGGGGGTTCAGTTGAAAGAGAGAGGTTCAGACTGTTCCATAAGGCTGGGGCTCTAGAAGGCTTCACAATACTCAGTATGTGCTCTGCCTGTGGCCATGGGACCACAGCTGTCTCCTCCTTACCTACACCCTGTCCCACAACTAGTCATCTCTCCTTACCACACACTGGGCAGGTCTGAGGTCTGTCCCAGTAGAAATGTCTCCTAGAGACCAGATGCCAAAGAAAGTACCTTAAGAAAAGAGACGAGCTGGACACGAAGTTGAGGGCCTTGCTGCGCTAGGAAAGGGTTCACCCCTTGCAGTAGAGAAAGAGGACAGCCACAGGGCACCCACAGTTAAAGCTGGGCCACTTTACAGGGACAGGAAGGGAAAAGGAGAGAGACACACCCCAGAAGGCCAAGGTCAATGCTGGGCTGAGACCAAGGACAACAAAGATACGGGGTTCGTGATTAGGTGGTTAGGTCTGGGGAGTCTAAGGTGGGAGAAGGAAGACCAAGCTGCCCTTCCAGAGCAAAGGCAACATGTGGCCTCTTCAGCCTGCGTGGGCACCAGGTCCACGGCACGTCTACATCTTCAGGAGGCTGCTTGTTCCCCGTGTTCACGGGTTCCTGACAGTCCCAATAAGGGTCTTCTTCATGATCTACCTCTTTCTACTCTCAGGAGCCGGGTTAAAAGGACCCCAAGGCTGCCCACTCTCCAGAAAATTCCACCCACCCTGGCCATCAGAAGGAGACAGACAAGCATTCTTCGCTGGGGTGAACGCCTCACACAAGGCCTGCTTTCAGGGCAGCCTCCTGGCATCTGGCTTTCGTGGGCTCTTTAGTGGAAACGAGAAACAGTTGAGAGAAATAAGAAAGAGCACTGTCCTCTGGGGGCCCTGTGGTTGCCACAGAACCATGGCTCCCGGGCTTTGATTCTGAATTCTTCTGGGAAACCTCAAAAAAGCAGTTCAAAAAACGAAAACAAAAACAAAAAACAAAAACTAGTTACGAGTGGTCTGGTTATGATCAGGCACCCCGGATATGCAAAAATGCAAATCTCCTTCCCCTTCCCCCCTGCAGCCCGTCACCCCTCCTGAAAATGAGCAAACAATCTTAGAGGTCTAAAAATCTAGGAAGACTAAAGACTTAATAGTTTTTACTATTCGTGTGTGTGTGTGTGTGTGTGTGTGTGTGTGTGTGTACATGTGTACACCTTCGTGTGTCACAAGAGTGTGTAGGACAATTTGTGGGACAACAGAGAGGATGACTTTAGAGTTGTGTTACTGGGTGGTGAGGTCTGGGAGGAAGCTGCCTTCTAGAAGTGAAGGGGTCACACAGCCTGTTGACCCTGCAGGAGTTCTGAGCCCACAGGCAGGTCTCTAGGGCTACAAGGCTGGGCCATTCCCTGCTGGACAGGCTCCTAAAAGCTTGGGGGTCTCAGGGACCAAACTCGGGTCCTCAGACTTGGCAGCAAGTTATCTTACCCACTGAGCCAACTCACCAGGCTCAGACTTAAAATTTTTTTGGAGGGGGGGGGCTAACCAAAATCAATCCTTTTGCTATAAAAATTGATATAAGTAGTATAAAAACACTTTGTCTTAATTAACATGTAATTGTTTTAGTTTTTTGAGAAAAGCCAAGGAGCTAAATGGCCCAGAAAGGATATTTAATTCTCTAAAATGGAATTTTCCCCCGCTGACACATGGCAAGCTTTGCTCACCTGTGAGCAGCCTGTGTGACTTCAGAACTGTGGTTGGCAGGGACAGTCATCTAGGATGACGAACCTTGGAGGCTGGGCTCTGGGGCATGTAGCACTGTGTCTTGGTACATCCTTGTACCACATACACCCCGGCTTCTCATTGAGTGAAGGTTGCAGTACTCCCCCTAAGTTCTGGCTTCTGAGTTATGCACCCTAGAGACAGACCACAGGCCCTGTAATGCCTGGCCAGTAACAGGTAAAGCTAGAGAGTTCAGTGTTAGCATCCTGGGGTGCAGTTTCCTCGCATGAGAAATGAGACGATGTTACAGCTGTGTTTGAACACTTGCCTCCCATCACACATCCACTTCTATTCTGAAATTTTTTTTTTTTTTTTTTTAGGTTTTTCGAGACAGGGTTTCTCTGTGCAGCTTTGCGCCTTTCCTGGATCTCGCTCTGTAGACCAGGCTGGCCTCAAACTCACAGAGATCCGCCTGCCTCTGCCTCCCAAGTGCTGGGATTAAAGGCGTGCGCCACCACCTCCCGGCCTATTCTGAAATTTAATCTGCAGTGTGGCAGCACTGAGGGATGGGGCCTGTGGAGGGGTGATTATGTCCTGATAGTCCCTCCTCTTGATGAATGGGACTAGGTATCTTTACAAGCAGGCCCTACGGAGCTTGTGGAGTTCTACCCTGTGAAAGCGCGGCGGAACACAGACATCAAGCTTATCTTCACCTTCATCTTGGGTCTCCCAGCCTCCAGGACTGTGAGCAGTATCTACACTGTGTGAACTCTCCCGAGGTAAGGAGTTTTGTTGCAGCGCACTGAGCAGCTGGGACAGTTAGCATCTGTGAAGGGGCGGTAAGGGAGACCACAAAGATGGCCTCCGCTACAGGATGCTGCTCCTAAGGAGCGTCTAGCCTGGTAGAAATGCCAAAGAAAACTAAATGGAGGATAAAATGTGTTTGTTCTCTGCTAACACCCATGGAAGGCTTCGAATGGACGATAAGCCAAGCTCCCTGACCCAGGCAGTTACTTCAAGGGGAGAAGTGTCTGGTCTGGTAGAGACGCAACAACCAAATGGTGATTAGGTTCTGCCCGTATTTCTACTGACTTGGGTCATGTGTCTGTCAACACCAGTGTGAAGATGTTCTGCCACGTGGCCTTAGTCACCCCGGGAACAAAATCAGTGACCTGTGCTGATCATCACTAAGGTGGGTCCTGGGGTAATCACCGCTGCATGCGTGTCCCGGAGGAAATGAATCTGAGTCTTTTCCAGGGCCAGACCTGCCTGTTACTGACCAGAAACACCCACATCTATACATCAGCTCCACCTACCAAATGAGAGAACGAAACTGTGCTTGCTTTTGTCCCCAACACCCCCATGGAATTCCACAAATGTGCATGAATATGCAGTGGCTTGAGCCATGGCAAAATGAGAGATTTTGTTTTTAAAAGCATTGATTAAGGACCCAGTTACAAGCCAGGCATCAAAGATTAGCCTCCGTTGATGTCTTGGTCCCAAATCTAGGTATTAATAATATCCATATTTCTAGGTCTGGGGAACACTTGCAAAACATATGTTCATTGTATCATATTTCAGAAGGTACTGAAGACTTTGAAATTAT